ATAAAATTGGTTTCTCTGGTGCCTCTTGCCCTTTCTTTTCTTCCCTTGTGGGCTTGGGTCTGTAGGTTTCTTGGCCTCCTTAGGCTCTACAGTAGGTGACTAGGCAAGGTTGTAACCACTTAGGGCGTGTCTAGGCTACATTTAACCATGAATCAATATATGGAAACTGATCTGGATGCCCTGGCCGTCCTCAGGCTCTGGTTACAACTCTAAACATTTGGCCAATGGTTTTTTTTGGTCTATCGTTCCTTTGGCTGGCCATCCAACCCCAGAGAAAGGCCATTTTAAGTCACACAAGGTCCTTAACTTCTGAGGGTGTAAGGAGGGTGGGGAGGGGGCATCCCAAAGACACTCCCAGCTTCCTCCCAGTTGGAAGAGGTTCTTGGCCCCGGGGGTGCAGTGAGTTTACAGTTCGAATAAATATTGGGAGCGATTTATTAGACAGAGAGAGAGAGAGAGAGAGAGAAAGGCAGTTCCCACGCTGCCATAGGAGTGGATCCAGAGAAAGAATCCCTGTAGGGAGGGAGCAGCGAGATTTTAACCCTTGAGTTATTCCACCCCCATTCATGTTCTCATCCAATGAGAGGAGTTCTTTCAAATTTCCTCTGGAGTGATTGATCTTTGACTCTGATACCGGATTGGCTACTTTGTCCACAACGGCTCCCCCTCCTCCCAGAGCTTTTGGCAGACTTTTTGGACATAGGAGCCCACTTGGGTTTCTCTACCTAGCCCTCGCGCGTGGGAAATCCAGAGGAAGAACTTTACCTTCTGAATGGAGGCGTGGAGCCAGGAAACGCATCCGGGAAGAGAAGGTTTTCTTTAACACAGTCCCTCAAGGGGGCAATTTAACTCCATAGTCTCCTGGGAAGCCTTTCTTAAAGTTCTTTAACATGCACTCTAGTGGTGTGGGGTTTGACTCTTTTCCTTCCATTCTCCCACAGAAGCGCACTCTCACAGACTTTCACTTCGGGCTGATTACCGTCTCTTGTTGCGGGAGTTTTCAGATTGCTGCTTAGCTAGGAGAGTACCACGTTCCCGCCACGGTCAGCTGCACCTGCGTCCTGTCAGCCCCATGCGGTTAGCCCCTAAAAGATTAGCCCTCACTCCGGAGCACGCAGTCCACCTAAGGGACCTGCCTCTGCATGCCCTGCGTTGGCGTCTCCTGGAACCGTCTCTTTCACACACTTCCACACTCCTCCCCGCTTTCCCATTTTCCTCTACAAACTGTCTTAATAAGTCACCCCTGTTCCGTGTGCCGGTGGGGATGTGAGTTTCATCCAAACCAGCCAGCCGCTCTCACTTCCCCCAGCCTTTCTGGGTTGGATTAATATTCACTTCTCGGGAATTGCTCAGACCCCCCTTCCACCCTGTTGGGGCGGGCTTTTATTTCTTTTCCTTTTTTTTTTTTTTTCTTTTGGGCCCTAAATGCCTTACCGTAATTCCTGAAGTACGTTGGTCCTGGAGATCATCCTGCAGCCCCTTCCAAGGTTCCAATGCACTGTCTGGGAGTGGATGCTGGGGTGTGGGAGAGCCGGCCTCCTATCCGGGCTAAAGTTCTCCCCGTGGTGCCTAGGGTTGTGGGTCCTCCCCTCCCCCAGTCTGGGGCCTTGGTCCCACAAGCAAAGGAGACAGTAAGACTGCCATCTCCGGTTCCTGTTCAGGCACCAGAAAATGTAGCAGGAAATCCAAGATCTGCAGAGACTGATGAGGTTGCAGGTGGATTTTATTTAACATGATCATGGGCTCAGTGGAATCGTTTCCTAATTCTGAGCAAAGCACAAAGAAAATGGGGTGCCTTTATGCGCCTACTTGGTACAGGATGACGAAGCAGGAGGCAGGTTTACAGAAGCCAAAACAAAGAGAAATCAACTCGTGGCATGTCTTGTGATGTACTTTACATTTGAAAAATATAACGTCTTGAGAAACACATTCCACAGTTTGAGTTTATTTGCTTTGTGACCTTGCAGCTGGTCAGCAAGAGAAACAGGAATTTCTAGATGCCTGGGAACTTTGCTAAGAATGTGGGGAGGATAGATAAGGTTAAATGGATTACAGAGCTGGGGAAGTATTAAATTAAACAGCACACAACACAGCAAAATTTATTATATAGCAACTACAAATTACAAGGTTTTGTTTTTACTTTTATTGCTATTATTTAATTCTCTTCTTCAGTCCCAGCTACTAGTGAGGCCGAAGCAGGAGAATCACTTGAACCCAGGAAGCAGAGGTTGCAATAAGTCAAGACTGTGCCACTAAACTCCATCCTGGGCCACATAGTGAGACTCTGTCTCAAAAGCAAAAAAAAAAAAAAAAAAAGAATTGTGTTGCCTTTATCCTGTGGGATCATGTGACACCAGTGCCTGTGTGGGACATTACCACATATCTCGAAGTTAGGAAGATCATCTAAGGTCAACTGAATCACTTACTTCTCCACCTAGAATGGCCTGCTTCTCTTTGCCCCCAGTTGTCTGTAGGCCATGAAACAGCTTCTATTAGGCCAGGTCTAAGCAAATCATGCTTACAAAGGAAGATGGAAGAGGTGATCTGCTTCGTTTGCAACATGTAGGATTGGTGCGGACTACAGGCAACGTAGAAATTTTTAGGATTGGTCATTCTTAGGAAGGGGCATACCCATTGAGTACAGGAGGAGGAAGGCCATGTGTCTGGGGATTCTGATCCTAATAGGATGACTGCTTAAGGTGACTATATAAACCCAATCATAATGCTGTGCCTCCTTTGAGGCTTTCTCAATCTTGTAATTAGATGAGAAGTTACTTTTTTTATTGAAATTATATCAGCTATCCTCCAGATTCTAGGCTAGTTTTATAGTTGCTTTTTTTTTTTTTTTTTTTTTT